TCCTTGCAGCATTCCAATCCCAATATTTCCATCACCACCTTCATTGACGATTGCAAAATTTGGGGCCCCCAATCGTCTTCTAATGAACTGGTTGCGGCTTTCAATGAAATAGCTACCTTTGACACTGCTGTGGGGCAATCCCTGAACGAACAAAAGTCTGAAATCCTAGCGAGGTCAAAGGAAAAGGGCCGGTGTTTTAGACGCAAATTGGGCAAACAGTTCAAGATTGTCACTCAATCCAAATCTTTGGGGCGTGTCCATCAAATCAACACGGTTAGAAATGCCAAGGCCCAGGAAAAACGAGTGAAAAAGGCTTTGGGCGTTTTGAGTAAAATAAATACACTACCTATTCCTCGTCATCAAAAAGGTCATTTTATTCAATCACATGCGCATTCTAAATGGCTTTTTGGTACTGAAACCCAGGGGATATCAGTAAGATCACTTGCTCAATTGAGGGCTGCGGTCGTCAACGTTTTAGACCCCTCTACGCATCGACTGCGGTCCCCTTTCCTTGTTTTGGTTACTCAACGTGATCCCTTTTTAGATCCTTTAGGAAAGTGGGCATATCATGTCATCACCGGATTGCGCAGGGTTGCAAAGAAGAACCTTGATTTGGCTCGTAATATTTTGCGAAATGCAAGAAACATACCTACCCCCAAAAGTGGCGCTATCAATGGTCAGAGTCGGATTTTGAAGTTTTTGCTCCAGAAGCTTCAATGGAAAATTTCTCATGACGAAACGCTCCGATTTGTGACAAAATATGGCGAGTTTTTCCTCACTGATTTTAGCGAAGCATTTTTTCAAGAAATACTTGGCGATGCCGTGCGTGACATGCTTATTGCCAATGTTCAGTCTCGACATGAGGCTGGTAAGATCCCTGAAGACCACCAAGTCGATTGTTTTTTGACGAGGCTTCTTTTGGATGAATCTTTTCAAAATGATCAAGTTTTTGGTTGTGTTCATGACCTTCTTTCATGCCTTCCCAAGGATCGTAACCACGCCAAAAATCTTCTAGGACAAGCATTAACTGGAAGGGTTTTCACAGCGCCTCGGCTGGCCGCTGCTGGAATTTCATCAACAAGAGTTTGTCCGAATTGTGAATGTATTGAGACCCACCACCATTTGTTTGCTCAGTGTTCATATTATGAAGCAACGCGACCCGCTAATCCACCAAGTGAGCCGGACTTATCTTGGAACACAGGTGTCCTTTTTTCCCCAAAGCTTCAAATTCATAATGCTCACATTCCGGTGCCAATGCGTGACCGCGTAGAGGCTAATGAGGTAGTGTTTGTTGATGGAAGCTGTTTGCACCTTCCGTGCAAAGACTTGCGCACCGGAGCCTCTGCATACTATGTACCTGGGCAGGTTAAGTTCGCGCATGAGCTCCCTGGAGCTGACATCTCATCTCAAAGAACGGAAATTTACGCGCGTCTTCTTGTACTTCATCATTTCCGCGGGCGGATCACGGTTGCTACTGATTGTTCAGCAGTCATCAAAGGAATTGCAGGTCCACATTGTTTCCACGCTACACAAGCGGGCTTCTGTTGTTGAAAGAGGCGTCCTTTCTGGCAGTGGGTGTTCTGAGCCTAACAGGTCTTTTCATACCTCAATTGCTCGAATTTGCACGTGTCCCCCAGTTCGCCGTTGCATCGGCAAGCAACCAGCTTGTAGGGGTGTCTGTCTCCAGAAGATGCCTGTCTTTCGGTTAGCTCCAGTAGAAGAGAGATATGTTCAAGCTTGCGGCAATGGAGTAGCAACCTTAAATATATTGCAAGAACTGAAATCTCATTATTCAACATTCGATCTCCGTACACGCGGAATCCAATTCATACCAAATTTCTCGCAAGTAACGGTTGCAACTAGCGGGGTTCAGTCAAAACTCACATCTGCAGAGGCAGGTGCATTTGTCCGATACTTTCAATCTGCGTCGCTTTCATTTGAAACAACCAGAACTGGTATAATGGTACCTTGGCTTCTGGTTCTTCTAGATTTCTGTGCTATGTGCCCTTGTGACACTTCGTGGTTGGTTCAAGAATCTCTCCGTAAAAGTGTTTCGAAGTTTCGTGCTGTCGCTACCCTGTTTTTGAAAGCCCAGGAGTGTCAAATATGTGTGGCCAGCCAAAGCACATTTTGTAGCGATTTCGGGTTTGGTCGCCTTTCGGGTTTTTTTGGGCACATAAGCTTTTATCATCCACATAAGGTTTGGTTTCTTCTTGCTGCCCTTTCTATTAGAAATCTTGATCTTGATAGTGGGTCCAAGATGATGAGTTACAGCTTTCAGGACGATCTGAGTGTCCTGCAAACGCTTCCTGACAGTTTGCATTAGTCTTTTCCATGGGCAAACGGTGAAGGGGGCACCCGTGGAAACTGAATTGCATCAGCTTATTTCCTCTTCTTAGCGTGCTGGAGTGCTCGAGAGGCCGACAGTGTGCAGGGCAGGAAAAATATATATACAATATATGGGTTGTCTGGAGATATGGTATAGATATTTCCACCACCAACAGATTATCATCAAAACCCACTTTACATGGGAGATAAATCCACAAACACTTTACATGGGATAGACTTTGTTATAGTTCCAATGTATGACATGGTGACATGCATGCATATACCCAATCAGTTCTCGATGAAGCCTTCCCACCTTCATGCCAGGGTTTAGTGGTTTGGTTGATCTTGACGGGATATATACAAATCAATCCCCATTGGGTTTTCCATTTTAATCCTGCAGATGTTTCTTTGGACCCGACCAATCCTGTATAGCCCTTCACGCACCCATTGCACAAACATATAGGGTTCCATGTGGCAGTTCAAACAGGATGATATGTTTGATATAGATTAAGTGAAAATGTTTTTTGAAAAAAAAAACAAAACCACATATAGTGCTATAGCTGATAATGGCCCTGCGTGCAGCTCAATGGTCATTGTTGTCCTTTTACTCGACCTGGTCATCGCATAGTTCCCCGTCCACTGCCGTCAACATGATTTTGGGTTCATCCGTCTCCGTCTAAAATGCAAAATCTAGTGCCAAAAACGTGGTTGATGGTCTTTAGGCAGAAAAAGTGCCACACAAACCGTTCGGTGCAATTCCAGGCCGTTAATGCCCGTACATGGTGTGAGTAGGCCGTAAAAAACCGATCGCTAGGACGTTAAAACCCGTACCCTGGGTCGTAAAAAACCGTACTGGGCAGGCCGTTAAAAACCGTTCGTTCGAAGGCGTTCAAAAGGCGTTCAAAAGGCGTTCAGTAACCGTTCGGTTTTACGTAAAATTTGCGTAAAAAATAAGCAAAAATATATATCCACTTATACGCATTTTTTCCAAATATGTGACATTTTTTTGGTCCCATGCGCGAAAAACAGCGAAAGTTTGTGGGTTGTATGGCTCATTGTTGCCGCGCAGCTTCAAATATATTTTGAAGGCTACCTGTCAACTTTTGGGAAAACAGCGCAGCCATTTGGGCCATTTTCACCATTTAGAGGGTTGTCTTGGGGATGTCTTCCCATACCTTGGAAAGTAGGGCCTTGTCCTGCAACTCCCTTGCTGCTGGTGCAAAAGCCTGTGCACGCATTGGTGGCATGGAGCTATTCCAGGGCATGTCTCGGGATGAGTTGACAAAGAAGTTGCAGGTCAGGTGATGAACCCATTAACATAAATGGAACGAAAGTGAATCCATAATGATCGAAGGGAATTGAGGGTTCATCATCCGTGGTTTTGAACATTTAAGACATGTAAGACCATGAAAGACCCACTATAGCCATATATATGTCCCTTCAGGAAACCCGGGTGCTTCTTGCGGCGGCAAAGCAGCATCGTCAATCTAATTTCCAGCCAGTCCCAGTCAAGACGGAGCCAGGGAAATCAGCTACTCGAGCTGAGGGGCTTCTTCCAGCTGAGAAACCCAATACTCTGATGATCTCAGTTCCTTGTTGTTTATATGAAATTTTTATTCCATAAGTGGCAATGGACCTTATATAATCGAGATCCTATATAGTATAACACCAAAAAAGGTTGTATAAGATCTCCTGCATTTGGGATTTGAAATCAAACGAGGCTCCTATGGGGGGAAGTGCCAGTCAGCCAGCCGAAACCATCCCTGCTGTTTCTTGGTTATATAATTTTTATATACCGATGATGTTAGACATTTTTTCATATAGTTCTTGTGGATTTGATTATGTTTGGCACCAACAATGTATATATGGTTGATCAAAGAGTTGATCAAATTCATATAAGGATTCTAGAAGGTTGATCCCAACAATGCATGTTTTGGTTCTATGGGTGGACCCTTGCAAGGATACGCAAGAGATTCTCTTGGCTATGGCATCTACCCCAAAGACGGCTTCACATGCAGAATCTTCACCGGCCCCAGAGCCATCGTCAACCCCAAGCAGCTGCAGGCCTCCGTCCTCATCGCCGCCTTCAAGTGCCAAAGCTGCAGCAGCCCTGCCAGCAGCCACAACGGAGTCAGTGGAGGGGGGGAATCAGATGGCTGAGGGTGACAAGGACTTGTTGATAAGGGCATTGGCCAAGATCGAGGAATTGGAGGGCCGTTTAGAGACTGCTAGCAATACCTCTGCTCGGGGGAAGGATGATGAGAAAAATGAGGAGGAAAAGGATGATGATCCCATTGTCACTCCTGACGGGCAGAAAGTTCCTTTTCTCAAAATCTTTCTCGGTTGCCCCCAAAAATCAGAATTGTATTGCATCACCACCAAAGGGCGCAGCATATATAAATTTTGATCTATATGGATTTACAATGATTTATACCTATATATAAGTATATATAACATATATATGATTTGAACATTTTGCAACAATGATCCTGGGGTTCTTGAGTCAGTGAGCTTTATGTATATATATATGATAAGTATATACTTGGCCAATGGATACACTTGGTTCATTTTTCCGTTGGAAGGACACCCACTGAACATATATATAAGAATATATATGCCGAGAAGATATGTATCTGCCAAATCTCCAAAACCTCCCATGAACCAGGTTCTGGGCGCTGACGCGCTCAGAATGAGACTCAGACGTCTCACTGAGACCAAGACGAGCGGCAAACGATGGGTGGACGACAAGACCCAACAGGACTACAAAGCCGGGGGAGAGCGCAGACAGTGGCTTGAAATCGCACTTCTGGAGTCGTTGAAGAAGCACGGCACCGGCAGAGAAGCAAATGGAAAAGTTCGGGTGAGGGGCTTCGTCAAAAAATGTTCATGGTTATATATAGTTCAAAGTTTGTAATTAGACAACCCCATGATCAGTTGACCATGGTTTGGGGTGTTGCATCCTTTTGCACCTACTGCCACAGGCGGAATTCCTTACCAGAGTGGTGGTAGTCCGTGAGCGCATGCAGTCAAAGGAGCACGAGGTCACAGGGAAATGGCAAACCGAAGAGAAACTCAAGTCTTCAGGAGAGTACACGCCGTTTCTTGTTTGACTTTATGTATCCATATATGCTATATCAGTTTGGGGACTTGTACTGGCTTCTGAAACCTATATAGGTGTCCTTGAGCATCCTTAGGGTCACCAGTGCCACCAATCGTTTTGAAATCCAACATGTTTTCACACATGCAAAGGCCTGTATATAAAGCTGCTTGGCTAATCCCCTTTAGAAGAACACCACATGCATCTCAATTCTATGGTTTTCTTTTGGCGGCATCATCCTAAGGCAAAGCATTCGTGCCATCGTCTCTTACTGTCGACGATTTCCGGCCGCGCTCGTACGGCCAGGTTGAGACAAAACGCATGCATGAAGTTAGCTTCAAATCGTATATATGTTTCATTTTTTGGAAGCCTATATGCGTATACCCAATTATAATTATGAGGTGAAATGACCACAAAAAAAACACATACATTTTGAACCATGGGTTCCCTTCAGGAAGTGGAAATATGATGAAAACACTGACGAGTTTTTTGTGGAGGATGAAACCACTGTGAAATGTCGGCGCTCAGACCTGACCCGACATACGGAGTCGACTGAGATGGACGACAGGGACTTAGTTGTTAATTGCTTAAATTTGTTTTGTGTTCCATCCCCAGTTGCAATTCCAGGTCTGAATGCAAATAAGCATATATCAACCCAAAAAGATAATTATTTGGGTGACTCCATTTATATATATATATAGGGAATAGCCAGCTCCCAAGGACAAAGTCTCTCCAACGGCTCCAAGTTTGCCAAAGGGACCTGATGATGTCTCCGGAGATGAGAGCCCCGAATCGAAGCCTACGCCAGAGCAGTTGGGTCAGAAGGTGTCTTAACCCCCAAAAAAATCAGTGTTTATATTATGTATATCACTGTATCACCTGAATAATATAGGTTCAGACATATCTGTTGACTGGTATATACATATATATCTATATATATTTATTTGCCTATATATATATAATATAAATATATATATATATATTCTTCGATCCATCTATGCATCTATCCATCTATCCATCCACCTATCTATCTATCTGTCTGTCTATCTATCCGTCTATCTATCTATCTATCAATCTATCTATCTATCTATCTACCTGTCTCTATCTATCTATCAATCAATTCATCCATCCATCAATCCATCCATCCATCCATCTATAGCCATCTACCTATACCTATACCTATATACCTATACCTACCTACCTGCCTATCTACCTATATCTATCTATCTGTCTATCTACACCTATCAATTTATCTATCTTATCTATCTATCTATCTATCTATCTATCTATCTATATCATTCTATATCTATATCTATAACCATACCTACACATATATATATATATATGTCCATTGCTCTATCTATGTTTCTATACTAACTCTCTTATCTGCTTTAAATCTATGCCTTCTGTCCCATCTATTGTTTATATATATATATGCCAATCATTCTATCTGTATCGTTTTGTCTATCTAACTTTATTTTCATCCATCTATCTACATCCATCTACACCTGGCCTTAAGTGTGTGTATATATATACACTTGTTTAACTTACATATACATGTATATATGTGTATATATATGCGTATATGTATATATATATATACTTAAAATCATACAGATAATAAAACAAGTGCCACACAAATCTATACCGATCCCCTACACTCATGGCCACCCACAGCCCAACCTGAAATACATTGGCTGGATCCATGCGCCCAGTGCCAGGTCGTTCCAGACCTGGAGAAGTTCATGGACACGCTGAACACTAAGATGAGCAACATCTATGAGATGATTACGGTGTTGGAGGACAAGGAGAATCCCCCACCAATGGAGCGCTATGCGCTGCCCTTTGCTTAAAGTTGATTCAACTATTGTTCTTCCATTTGAGGGGTTGTAAAACACCATCATATATACTACCCAGGTTGATGCCCCAAAGGTTCACTGCCACCAACTTATATGGGAGCATCAGCTTTGGTTTTTTGTAGCTGTCTTTCTATCCTGGTCATCAAATGATCTTTAAGGATGGCAAGCGACCTACGTCGCATAGTGGGGAAGTTGGAGGAAAATTTCAAGATCGTGGCCAAGTATCTAACGGAGATCAAGATGGATGATCTGGACAAGAACCCAGCAGATCCAAAGCTAAGAGAGTTTCTTTTCTGCCACATAGGGGAAGCTGCTTTGTTTCAGACCATCACACCTATCTTCCAAAAAAAAAGATGGTAATTACAAACAGTTATGAGCTGGCACGATATGAGATAGGGACTGGCTATCTATCGTATACCCTAACTCAGTTTTTTTTGCCCAAGTCTTTGCCGCTCAATTTTGCCTATGGCATCGTCCCCTGGTGATGATGAAGACTCCTCCTGGCTCCGAGAACTAATAGATTACAACCGGCAGCAGGTGTCCTGACTTCCAACAAGGAATTGTTTATCCCATTATGTTTCTTCGTGTTGGTTTTTGCCCCCCAATAATTTATATATCCAATTGATCAATGATAAATGAGATATCAAAATGATATATATAATAATTGGATGGATTTTTACATATAACCCCATGGGTCCGTTTATATTGTGTATATATACATCACCAGCCTCATCCTCTGCAGGTGCTGGGTGCCCCACGTCTGGAAGACGGTCAGCCTGGGAGGATGTTGCTTTTGAGCGGCGCACCGTGTCAGAGGTTTTCTACTGGTTTGGTGCGTCCCTCCAAAGGGCCCAATTGGATGGAAAAACTGGATGCTAGTGTGCTAGCCCTCCCCAGAACTCAGAATCTTTTTGCTTCAATCGAGAAGGACCCGTGCCTGAGTTACAGCCTACCACCAGTTGGGTCTTCTGCAGGGCAAATCATACAGCATTGCCAGCGAGTTATTAACAAGAAGATTGAGTTGATCAAACCGGCTACTTTCAAAATAGGGTTCTCACACAACCCAGCATGGCGTTTCAACAATGCAATGTACGGCTACAAGACTGGCAAAGATCGTTTCGAAGCCATGTGTGTTCTTTGGGCATCATGTGAACCTTTACCAGCTGCTTTCCTTGAAGCGAGCTTGATCCAGCTCTTCCAAGGTGACTTCCCATAAAAATTAGCACATTGGTTGAAAGAATTGTTGAACCTTCACATATACCTTCACACTTCAAACATATATGGTGGAATCGTATAGCAAACAAATGTTCAGTTTATGATGCCGTGTATCCCTACATCGCTACCCGCTGGCTCAGGCCAAACTGGTCTGAAGAATGAACGTCCTGGAGGTGAAACCGTTCCAAAGGACCGAGGTGATGACATGGATGGCCCGTACTGTGTGTATTTTGTTTTTAGGTCGTTTCAACGGCCACCAGATAGGAAAACACCAATGGCATGAAATGCCATCCAATTCGATACATGTGTTTTGAGTGTGCTGGGAATACCAAAAGGGGTGGAAAACATAGCGCGTGAATTGCAGTAAAGCCACTCAATGTATTATATATGTGTGTGTTCCTATATATATGTATATATATACAAAATAATCAATATATATGTTTCAGTCCATACTGCAACACTCAGGTTCCAACAAAAGATCGACAAGGTCAAGAACGACGTCAAGGGTCCATGTGCAGATTTCTTGGGAAGCGAGATCAAGTACAAGATTCTGAAGAAGGACATCACCAAGGCCAAACGTGCTAGGGAGAAGGAGATGGAGGAGCAGGGCGAACAAGAACCAGATCAGACAGAGGGGGACGACCAAGAGCCAGAGACCAAGCCTCGCCGAAAGAGAGGCAAGACCGCCCCAGAGACCGCGTCTAAGTCTAAGGCTAAGACTGTGAACAGCAAGAAGGACCCCGCTTCGAAGAAGCGCAAACGGGCCTGAAGGGCTGGCAGGGGGCTGACCGAGTCCCACCTGTGTTGCAGATGCCTGGTTGGGCTCAATAGAAAACATTATATAGCGGATTGGGATTTGACCCCCAATAGTTGTGTTGAAACATTTGAAATAATGGCAATGTTGCTTTACTCCGGTGCTGCTGCTATGCCCACAGGTTTGCAGTTCAGTCTATACATGGATTTTGACTTGCATCAGTGCGAACAGGGGTTTCAGTTCAACACCATTGATGCAATGATTGGTGTTTACTGCAGTGTGAATCCACGCTGCTGAATCTGGAAATTGGAAAGATGGACCTATAGAGGAATCTGTTTCCGCAGGTCTGTATATACATTCAAGCATCGTTCGAAGGATAAAAATGTCCAACGTGTCTCTCAAGGATGATGTCTTTTTCTTGATTGCTATATATATATATTATATTATATATATATATTATACCCCAAATGTGAGCTTGTCACATGATGCCCAATCTTCTATATATGCAATGCCAGGTCCTTCCCGCAAAGCTCGGCGTCTGGCGTGGCTGTACTCTCGTGGTGCAACATGGCACGAAGGTGTTTTTCCCCCTTGTGTGGATGGAATTGGCCTATATAGGCCTATACCCTCAAAATCTTTGAACTTCAATTCGATCAATGATCACCAATGGATTTAAGAAAATGGTTTCCCAAAGGTTTGGGGTATATGGCATCATAGCTCAGGTACCTTGCACTGAAATCATTCAGAGTGCTGTGGCTGATGTTGCTGACATGGCAGCGATTTCCAACGATGACCCCAACAAGAAATGTCGAGTACTGTGTGCTCTCTCCAAGGTAAATCTCCACAAGTCAGCTACCCAAGCCAATTTCAGGACAAATGTTTCATCTTTATTTTGAGCCATGCAGCATTTCCTACATGGGCGAGTGTGGACACCTATTCTATTCGTTTATATTTCTGCCCTTTTTAACCAACTGCTTTTTCCCCTTATAAACGAGATGTGCAAAAGCCGATCGCTTAGGAGGAAGGCGTTGCAGAGATCTTGGCATCCAACAGCCTACGCTATGAGGTCGACCTCTCCTACAACCAAGTTGGGGATATCAGTGACTTCCCTTGGCTCCGACCGTCTTCATACCTGAAAACCCTTGTGAGGACAAACGAATTTAACCGCCTTTTGGGTGGCTACTCACTGGAACAATCAGAAAAAACATTGAAGTTGTTCTGGGACCGGTACAAAGCACAGTTCCCATCATTCCAGTTGTTTCAAGATCCAGTCAAGTCAGCCCAGTTGCAGAACTGCATACCTCTATATATACATGGAGACGAGGGAACTACATACAAAAAAAAGGGGGTTTTGATAGTGGCTTGGCAATCGGCCATTGGTGCTGGTTCGCGCAATGCACCAAATCAGAGACCTTCAGAAACCCTTAATGATGCTGGCATACCTGTCAACCTTCTGAAGACTGCACTGCAAACACGCTATGTATCAGCAGTTTGTCCAAAAGAGACTTGGTGTGCTCCAACATTTTTTGTACGTGTATAAATGTCAGGCCAGCTGTATATATACCAATGGGATCCCAAAAGTAAAAAAAAAACAAAAGACTGCATGATTGCATGCTATAAGCGTCTATAGCCAAGGAGTTCTACGAAGACGAGCACAAGGCAGCTTTCCATGACATCCACGCGTTGCTTGCGGAGGATTGGGCCAACTTAGAGCGGGATGGTATCTATGTGGGTCCAAAGCTGGTCTACCCCATTATTTTGGGAGTTAAAGGTGGCTGGTCCTACCAAGCGCCTCGATCCTACGGAGTTGGGTCAACATTTTACACCTCCATATGTATTCTATATATGTTTCCCAATATATATATATATATACCTGCTACCCTGGATGTGCCATGATCATTGTCCTATTTCAGAAAGAGCTATCCTGTTTGTTGTGATCCCACTCTTCAATGTGTGTGTGTGTGCGTGTGCGTTTCAAATTTTCCCATGCTCTACTAAGGTGGAAGCAGGTGGGTTGGAGAGGTCCTACCGCAGAGCCCCCAGGAGCGCGAAGGAGGGCGCGAATGCAAAATGTATGGCAGGGATTTGCCATTTCTGTCTCGCTGGCTACAATGGGCTGGAGTGGGAAGATATGTTACTTGAAGGGGATAATCAAGGTTTTTCTCAGTTGGCCCTAAAAATCATAATTTTGCTATAGCTGAAGGGGCTTTGATTTGTTCGATCTATAACCAAGACAGTTTCCAAGACTGAGGAAAAATGGAGAAAAAATGATTGAACAGTCTTATGCGGAGCACCTTCCAGAACCATGGGAAGAAGAGAGTGCTTTCACAACAAACCTTCTACATGAGACGGCGCCGCAAGGCAAATCACGTTTCTGGAAAGTGGACATTTGGCATGTGGTTCACATGGGGGTCGCAAAAGATTTTGTGAGCTCTGCAATGTGCTTCTTACAAAAGTTGATGCCTGGAAGCAACATCGATATGCGTTTTCAGCATATGACAGCCTTGTACAAAGAATACTGCACAGCAAACAAAAAGACCCGCTATGTATCAAAACTGACAAAAGATACTTTTGGAGGCTGTGGAAAGAATGATGAACCCACTGGTGGCTGGAACAAAGCTGCTCTAAGCACAACCCTGCTACAATTTACACAGTACCTGTGCGAGATGTTTCATGAGCAATGCCAAATGGATGAAAATTTGCGTTTTGTGGCACCTTGCCTGTTATGATTGGAAATAAAATAAGCTGGTTCTTTTAACAATTTTTACAGGTTTTCCATATGGTTTTCATTTTTTTTTCCTGGCAGCCTGCGATGCTTACCAAGGCATCGGCTACAAAGGCGTTGAACCAATTCATGTCAGGGCTCTACCATGCTGACCTCTGGATACCCAGGTTGCAAGTGGTTCCCATTGTACAGGCAGGGGAACATTTCCTCAAGGCTTACAATTATCTTGCTTGGCTGTCACATGAGCAGGGTGAGCCAAAATTCAGTTACAAACCCAAATTACATATGCTGCACGAATCAGTTGTATATTTGCAATCACGCATGCTTCAGTGGGAGCAGACGAGAAGTAATCATTTACGCTTTATTGGCTGGAGCATTCAAAAACCACATGTATTCATCATTGAAACCCGAGAAAAATTTTGGGTCAGAAAGGCAATCATTTTGAAGAGAATCAACAGAAAATAGATGAAAATAGATGATGAAAGAATGGATGAAGCCACACTTGTCCTGACGGGTGCCTGCTAAGGACTGAACCCGCCAAGCAGAGCCTCCTTTTAAGCGTTTTTGCTGTTGACCTCAGCCGGAGCCCCAAACCAATTCTTGGTGCAGTCTTGACCAAATTCTTGAGACACAAAACTCAGTATTTGACGACAAACCCAGTGCTTG